TTACGTGTACTCTCAGTAGGTGTTAAGTGTGTATGAAAATTGAATTATAAGATTAGAATTATTCGAAGATTACCAAGCGTTCACGAGAATTCCGAAGTTCTGATCAGAAGCTCATGTAGACCTGGTAGGGATTCTACATGAAGCTTCTCTATTCCGGACTCGTGACATCTCTATTCTTCGTGAGGTATTCTTGAATAGTATCTTAGACCTCTTACGATCCTCGGACCTCTTACGATACATCCTATGATACATACATAGGAAACATACCTTACGATAGGTACGTAGGAATGGTATGATCCTTCATTCCTTTCTTCGGAGCTTCGTATCGTACGTAACGATTTGTAACTGCAACGATTCATCGGTACGTTGCAAGGACTGCAAGACCATATGTGTACTCGGAATAGATAAATAATGTTCTCATTTATGGTTAGTTTGGTGCACCTCTCTCATATATTGAGTTCAAACTAACATCACCTAAGTAGTTCGCAGTACCGAACTAATTTGAACTATGCCTCGTACGGAGACCCTACGGTACGAGCAAGGTACCATACGGTACCAGTTTTCATATTGTCAATTTCGCTTATCTCTTGCGGTACCGTACGGTACAGTGCCAACGAGCCCAATGCTACTGTAAGTGGGGGGTCGCAACGTTTTTCTGCTTTCTCTTACGACGATCGGAACAACAAGAAACGATCTCAACATCACCAGTACCATACGGCAGTATCTCGGAATCGAAATTATTCAATGCCAACATCACCATGGCTCGTCTTCGTCGCAAAGTAGAAAGAAAACAAACGGACGACCGTGTCGTCGGGAGACCGTTACAACTGTTGCTTGTTGGAGCTTTTCTCTGCTTTATGGCAATGAATAGCCTAGATACTGTCATGCTGGAGATCAAGACGGCAGTGCTAGATTCTTATCAAACTGTTGCCAAGGTGACTTACAGCGTCACGAACTCCTCATTTTTGCAGCAGCAGCAGCAACAACAACGACGACAACAACAACACACGCTGCCGCCTCTCGAAGAATTGGTCGACAGCATCACAAATTCCACCCATCCTGAGAAGAGTTATCCATGTCCGAATGGAACGATCGTCTTTCCAGACACCCCTCTTCCACCGACTGAAAACGGAACACACCACAAAATCCCAAAGATCGTCCATATCACAGCTAAAAGCCGGTGCGTTCCACCCAATATCTACAAACACTTGAAGCAATGGGAGTTTAAGGGATACGGCTTGTATTTACACGACGATACCGCCGTCCACAAACTCTTGAGATATGCAATTCTCGACAACGATGGAAAAGGCTTGGTGCCAGACTTGGAGGCGGTCCTGTCGTGTGTCACCTCGGGTGCGACGCTTTCCGACATTTGGAGATACACGTTCATTGTGAGTTACGTAGGTCGGCGGTAATGGTTGGTGTGCTCATGAAACGCGAAATAAATCATTGACCTTTGTGTTCTGTTTGTTTCTTTTCCATCGTACGCTCTGCTCTGCCTGGGTGCTCAATGCATTCCCCTCTCCGTACTCATAATGCACGTCGATACGCGACCTTCCTCCAACTACAAATCGTCTAGTGGTACTACGGCGGTATCTACACAGACTTGGACAACTCGCCTACGGGATTCAGCGAAAATACTATTTCTCCAAGCGACGATGCCTTCTTTCCACTGGAAGGTCTGGGGATAGTTGCCCAATATTTCTTTGCGGTTTCTCCGAGACACCCCGTCATGTTGCAGTCATTGAATAGCGGGATAAGTAACTTGAAGAAGATAAAACACGTGATGGTCAACAACCCAGCAATTAACACCGGACCTAAAGCGATTAAAATTGGGTTTGTTGAGTTTCAGAAAGCGGTAGGAATTTCTACCGACGGGTATATAGACGCGGGCACATACATGGGTACCCTCGACGAACCCTTGCGGTCCTATCAAACGGCAAGCGGTGGTAACAGCAAAATAGATGACGAACTCTATCAAAATAGAACCATCTTAGTTGTTGGTAAGAAGCAAGAAAGTCAAGAATATGTCGATCGTGGCGGACTTCAACACCATGCCAAGCTGAATTACATGGAAGCACATGGAATGCCACATTACCACGGTCGTTGGAAGAAGTACGCGGGAGTTCGAGACCAAATTTCGTGCAAGCAACACATTGAAATGCAAGAAGAACGGATACGGGCGCAAAATTTAACGCTGCCTCCTGCCTACGCCCCTGGGATGGAGCATAATGAATGGTATCCTCGATACCATCGAGCAAACTATACTTACGGCAAACGACTTTGAGAACATTCCATTGAAATCACTCACAAGCTCGAAGAGAAGATGATGACCAACCGATTTGTACATCAAACCTTCCCATGTAGGAATCGCATGGCTCGAGCAAGGCGATCGTCCCTCTGGTCAGCTCTTGGGTGCTGTATAGTCAACATGGTCAAGCTTTTTTTCATTCAGCAATAAAACGGGTTAATAAACGGAAAATAATAAACGAGAATTGTTTTGATTTTCTGTCGGTTTATGATGACATGTTCTGTATCCCAAATGTTGCCACCAGGACAATTTTTTTAAATCTTTCTTTGCTACTTCTACATTGGTAGTTCTGTGCATCATACATCCCTACCATCACTGAAATATATTATGAATACAATTTAATAAATATAAATTATACTATTCACTTGAAACACATCACTAAACCTGACGGTTGATGTTACTCCAATGCTCTTTGCATACAGCAGCATTGCAACCTCTGCAACCATGTCTTGACATTTTCATACTTGTAGTAGTACTATTCCATGGCAACTTCCTCAATATCCTCACTGATCAGTTGGGATACCTATGCTTTGCTTCTCCTACACAGACAACAGAATACTAGTTCCTCTTCACTTCTTCATACTTTCCATTGCATATTTCTTCTTCCTGTGGCTTGTTTGAAGTTTCTTTTCCATGAGCAATGGTAGTGCTAGTAATTTTTTTCACAGCACCACAGAAGAAACACATCCAACAATTGCAAGGGTGGTATTTTTGTGAGCAATTTTCCATTTGTTGAAGTCTTTGGCATCCAATCTGGCTTAGAACCTTCATCATGTGGAGCTTTCCAGTCCAATCTTCAAACTCATACCAGTCGTTGGACTCATTTGCTAGTATCAGCTGAAGGATTTCTTTCCTCAAACAAGAACAAGAACAAATGTGCCAACCCTTCTACTTTATTAGTCCTGCCATACAATGTATTTCTTACAGTAGGAGTGAGACCTGGGCTGCACCTCCTCCAGGTGGAGGATGAGACCACAAACCCTCTGCATCATCACCCAACTTCTTGTCAAAACCAATGCAAGCTTTGTTGACAGTATTTGACTGCTACCAGGCTCAACATTCTGAAATGAAACCCAAACAAATATTCCTTGTTGGAGATAATCATGAATGATACTTCCAGCAGCAGTACTAATAGTACTCCTCCTAGACATAGCTAATCTCTCCTCCTGGGTGGACTTGGACGATCAGTACTGGTGTCTTGTAGTTGCTCAAAGAATTGCACAACATTCCTGACACAAGGAGAATGATGCTGAGTGACATTGTTGTTGCATTCTTCTTCATAGTCATTGTTGTGTGCTTTTCATCCTCACCGTCTAGTGAAGACATGTGTGTCCCAACAGGAGGAATTTCAGTGGGACTCATGGTGAGAATTGAGGAGTCCAGAAGAAGATGTTGCAATTCATCCTGCTCCAGATCAGATAAATCAGAGAGGTCACAGACAAGGATACCTTCTTGAATTTTGTTGTCAAAGGGAGCATTGTTGTAGTAGTAAGAGACATCAGAAAGACTTCCAACAATAGAACCGTTGTTAGTACTAGTAGTACTGCCACTGAAAGCACTGCTGTCATCTTGCGAGGGGCTCCTCCTACTGCAAGTGTGCAGGCAACTACCACTGTTATCAGATAGGTCTGCATCACTAGTAGCTACTATATGAACAATTACCATTGTCGCCATCAGAAAAAGAATCATCATCACCATCCATCATGGTGATATGATTAAATACTACTACTATGATGGTTTGGTTGATAGTTAATATTTTGGTTTGGAGTGTTGCTTGGATGTTACAAGGAGAGAAATGAATGAGCAGAAAAGGTGTTTTATAGGAAGTAATTGTTTAAAAAAGATTGGTACTTCAGTCTTATTTTGTGTAGGATTTGTACTACTAGTGCAGCAGTCTACACAGGTGAAAAACGTGGAGAACTTATGAGAGTGTTGTGAGCAACAGACAGACGATGCAAGGCAAAGACCTGAAACTAGCAAACCACTTGCCCTCTGAACTAAAGAGCATCCTTGCCCTCATTCTTGAAGTATCGCAGCAACAACAAGGTACCATGGTGAGATGAGACTCCAAGGTACTAACAGAACATCATTCCTACGATGAATTCACCCCCTTCCCCACCCTTTAACACAGGAGTTAATTTGTTGCAATCAACAGAAATACGACAAATTGGAACCACAAACCCATGAACCCATACTATTGCCTCCTCCTATATGTAGATGGCGTTCCATATCAGCGGCGTTCTCCGTATCAACATCCTCCGTATCAGCACCCTCTGTATCAGCACGTTCTGCATCAACATCCTCCGCATCAGCAACCCCTGCACCTTGTAAGCATTCCCAGTGTTCCGTAGCATCACCACCAGTGTCCTCCAACCATGGTGGTTCTTGGTCTTTTGTTTGTTGCTTTTTTGAATTCATGAATGTTCGGTGGTGSTATGGTGTGGTAGTATTGGTTTTTCCTGTTGTTTAACGGCAGAATTTTGATTACTTAGAGAATGCAAGGAAATGAGTTTACCATTGACTAAAAACGGAAATATGCAAGGAAATGAGTTCATGTCATTCGCAAAACAAGGAATTGGGTTAATGGTCCCCGCCGTTCATTCCGATTTTTTTTGGTCAACTACGGTCAAAAATCTAAAAAATCCAAAATCTTTTGTCAACCATCCTTTCACATCCTTTTCTCAACCTCCTCCGTCTCATTTCTAAGAACAGGGCATGCTGAAAACGCGATCGATTTCCCCATTCGTCGTCATCTCACAATCATGTCGAGCAGTGAAAGTATTTTGAAACTGGATGGTCGTAACGACGCATCAAAATCGGATTGTGGTGATGACAGCGTCTTAAATTACCTCGAGACTCCTCTGAATGCATGCAGCCTTGAGAGTTTTTGCAACACCATCCATTCAGAACTTTGCGGAGAACAACAATTCATTCCGCTTTGTTTGGGCTGTTATCAACTCAACGAAATCACAGGAAATAGGGAGGGATTGTTGGAACTTTATGCGAGCACAACCGAAAGTTTCGGAACCGGAATGCATCCACCATTGACAATTCTAGGAGACGGAGATGGTGCCCCAGGCGTATTAGATGGAAAGTGGTCAAGTCGACTGCCGTCATCTTCTACTTCAATTGACTTCCATAACTATTATGCAACGGCCCATGCCAATGGCGAGATTTGGGTTCACAACATCACGAACAAAGCGGTCGAGATTGCCAATGATGGCGTGGAGAAGAACACGAATCCTTTCCGAGCAACACTTGCCGGGAAATCGAGGTCGCCGAGTGAGAATGAAGGACTCTGTCTTGCTCTGGCTTGGGAGGACCCGCTCTATCGGAATGGCGACAGCAATTGTAGCACTGCTGTTGATACTCGCATCATATCATCGTACAGCGATGGACGTACTGCTATTCATAGAGTGAGGGAACATCCACCCACGTCGGCGGAAGATGCCACGCAAACGGTGGAATTGTCTCTAGAGCACCACTGGGATTCTCATACTATATTCAAGTGCCCTGCTGAAGTTTGGTGCGCTAATTTTATCGATTCCAATACTGTCGTCACGGGGGGGGACGAAGGAAGTTGGAAAGTATGGGATTTGCGACAGCCACTCATCAAACCAGTTTATCATGGCAAAAATGACTTTGAGGCCGGTGTGACGGTGCTATCTCCCCACCCACGACACAAAAATCTACTGGCTATTGGGAGTTATGACGAGACCATCGCCTTATTTGATCTCCGTCGCATGACGACAGATTCAACCAGTGCGAACAAGTGTCCTGAGGAACTGTACCATTCTGAGCCTCTCGGAGGCGGCATTTGGAGGTGCAAATGGCATCCAAGGGATGATAGCCGGATATTAGTGGCAGCTATGCATGGGGGTTGTGTTTCGGGAAAATTCGGTGGGTTGGATAGCGCGAATTTTGAAGGTCAAGAAGCTGTTATCCCCACTTCAATTAGTTTTAGTATACAAAAGCAATTTAACTTACACCAGAGCATGGCATATGGAATTGATTGGTTGGTATACCCAGAAGGCACGACAGAAGATACGAGCACTGAAGCTGCCGCCAGTTGCTCATTCTATGACAAAGCTATGTACTTGTGGAAGACAGGCCCCGAAAATATTTAACTAACTAGCAGATCTATTTTCCCAGTTGTTATTGGTATTTCCAATTTACATTAAAGTCTCAAGTCGTCCTCTTCATCCCATTCACCATCGTTTTCTGGCAAAGAAGTTTCATCGTAATGTTCAAGCGTGACATTTTCATCCTGTTCTTCGATGAATATGGGCTCTATTTTTATTTTCCCATTTGTTGTAGTATCATCGTCATCGCTCGATTCTATTTCTAATTGATCATCGTCTATCGCGACGTCGTTTAAGACGTCATCCTTTATCTTCGCATTATCTATTTCCTTGTCCGCAGCGAGATCCACGTCCGTATCATCGTTGCTTTCGTCGGAAGACGACAAAATCGATTCCACTCCTTCAAGAGGCGTTTTTGTAAAAGCATCGTTATCCGATCTGTCAGGACTTATGTCGGCATCCACATCGTCCTCGGCATCCGGGATACTGTAGTCATCCTCGACATCCATTTCAAGGACGTCTAGGTCTGAATCTTTAATGTTCTGTTGTTCTTGCTCTTCTTCGGATTCCTCGCTGCTTGTTACGTTCGACATTGGGGCGAGTTGATCATCATCGTAATCCCAGCCAACGGGGTCGGTTCCGGGCTTCGAGAGCAAAATAGCTTCCGTCTCTCTTAATTCTTCTTCTGCCTTGGTAATGATTTTTTCTACTTCTTTGTTGTAGTCTTGTAATGTCATTGGGGCTGCTTCTTCGCTACTGGTTTCGGTAACCCATTCTTCGTCGGCAAGCAACTGCGAAAGCCGGTACTCTTTTCCATCTGGACCCTTTTCATCATGCCAGGGCAGCCCAGCGAACGACGGGAAATCGTCCCCATTCTCTCCGTTTTCGATTTCGGCATTTGAGGTTCGACCACCCCCATCCGAGTCTTCCCTCGCAGGGTCATCTTGAAATTCGTTCGGAGTCGACCCCCATAGCTCCGATATCCCGGAAAAGTCATTCAATCCAACTACTTCGCTTTCATTTTGAGTCGTCGTTTGCGTACCGGCAGAAGGGGTACCTCCCCAGAGCTGAGAAACAGAAGCAAAATCCATGTCGTCGATTTTTTCCGGTGCCTCGTACTCTTTCAGTGCCGACAGATCTTCGGGGGGGAGACCCCAGAGCTGCGAGATTCCATCGAGTCTGGTTTGATCGTAGGTCGGGGCCTTCTTCTGTCGTCTCTCGGCAACGGTATAGAGCTTCTCATCGGTCCCATCGGTCTCGGCGCCCGGGATCGCAGACATGATTTCGACGGTTTCCTGCAATTCGTTTTCGGCATTTTCTTCGATTTCCTTCAGTCTCGCCTCGTACTCTTCTTTTGTCATGTTCTTGATCTGAACGTCGTCTTTTTCCTCTTCCCAAACTTCATCGGCGAGCTGTTGGCTTAGCCGGAGTTCCTGCCCGTCGGCGCCGACCTCGTCAAACCACGGCAAGTCTTCGAAAAGCTCAAAGTCAATAATTTCTTCTTCGAGCTCGTTCTCATCGAAATCGGCAGCCGCGAGAAGAGATTTGATCTTTTCATTCTGCATCCTCAGGGTCGCTAGGTAGTTGCTTGTCGTCATGCCCGAAGGAACTGGCTCTTCCCGAACTTCTTTTGCTGGTTCCGATGGTTTGAACGTCGAAATTGCTCTCTTGTCCGTGGCAAGTGTTGTGACTTTGTGAACGGGCCTTGTTGCCTCTGTGGATGAAGATTCGGCAGAAGATATCGTAGCATTTTTGTCGGGAGTAAGTTGTTCCGAAGTTTTCGTTGGTTCCGATGGTTTGAAGGATGAAACCGCTCTCTTGTCCGTGGCAAGCGTTGTAACCTTGTGAACGGGCCTTGCTGTCTCTGCAGCAGGGTTGTCGGCAGCAGAGTTTGTCACATTGCTGTCCATAGTAAGTTGCTCCGAAGAAGATTTCGTAGCATTTGGAGCTGTCACATCTGTAGACAAAAGACTGCGTTCCTCGTTTTCGGATATGCTAGTATTTCCGATTGTGTTCATATTCTCTACGACGATCTCGTCGATGGTGTCCGTAGATGCCGCATGCGTGGCTACGGTCTCCACCCTTTCTTCGTTCGCGTCTTGGTCGACGAGATCGTCCTCGTGTTCGTGTTCGCTGCCATCCCCCTCTTCCTCGTCGCTTTCGGTAGCGGCGACTTTTTCTTCTGCTTCCTTTCTCAGTCGTTCTTCCTCGGCGGCTTCTTCGTCTTCCCTCAGTCGCTGCTCCTCTAGCTGCAATTCTCGCTCGAGCTGCTCCTTTTCCATCTGGTCGAGTTCCTCTACGGAATAGCCACGGACGGGCAACAGATTGTCGTATAGTTCCCCATCGTTGAGCTTCTGTGCCGAAAAGGGGAGTTCCTCGAATCCGTAGAGCCACCGGATCGAGCCGGCGTTGGTCTCGGCGATCAATGTATCGACACAGAGAGGATCCTCGCCCCGCCCGTAGTTTTCGTTGTCGTATGGATCCAGGAATTGTTTCGCCAGATCAAAGAGACCCTGGTAGCTGATTGTGAGCAATCCGGTTCCAAAGATCACCAGGAGCGGAGACATGCCGGTGGTGAATGCCATAAAGGGGAACATCCAGAGAATCAAATCCACGAGGACCTGAACGATGTGGGCGTAAGCCAGCGGCATGCGTCCCTGCAGCTCGTCGCCGATGGCACCGTACTGGCTACGGATGATGTGAAACTTGTGCATGGTTTCCGACTCGAACCCGTGCCCGCCTTGGATGTGGCCCGATGCCCTCCCCTCGACAAAGAGCCGGATCATCCACATGAGCACAACACTGTGGCGCTGCGTTGCAGGAATCACCGCGTCGACCAGAACCTCCCGCTCCTGCGCGGTCATCAGCCCCCGCTCGACAAGCCGCCGGAGGCCCCTCGGCGTCAGTATGGGGCGGTGCGACCTCGTAAAAGACGCGTACGTCAGTAGGTTGAACAGGCGGACGTACCGGCTCATGAGCTCGAGGATCTGTCGCGACGAGGCCGTGTAAGTGGATTTTTCGTTGGGGTTCGAGGGGATCACACGCTGGGCGTGCGAGGCCATGTTCATGTTCACGTCGTGGAGGCGGCCCTGCAACCGGCGGCTCAATTCCATGCATTTTCGCCAGAGCGCATACGATTGGTTGACGAAAAACGTCAAAGTAAAGGTAGTGACCGAGAGCAGCTGTCCCCAGAGTGTGTTAAAGCCGGACAGATGCGTTTGGAAAACGGTGGGATATGTTTTGTGGATAATGTACACGGCTACCGCGAAGAGCATGTTCCTGGCTGTGGGTTACGTACAGCAAAACAGTCGAAACGATTGAGAGGTTGTCCCGGCACGAAGACGATTGGTTGCTCCGTTGGCTCGCAGTGATTTCGATTTCGATTTCATCCGATCCGATCCAAAACCGACGCGAATCGATTTCGATGCGCCGACAACCATCCAACACAACTTACCGCAGGAAATCCATGTCTCCGCAAACACCGTCCCCTTCCAGCGGCGCCAGATCCAGCCACTGGAGGGATCGAACTGCATCATGATGGGCCGCCTCGCGCTGGTCCGAACGCTCTCGTTGATGAGATCATCCAGCAGATTGACCGTCGAGGCCTGTTCGATGATGGATTCGGGCGTCGTCAGCACCATGTGCAGGGCCGTGGGGGACCCCACCGACGACAGGGACGTGGATGCTGCCCGCTGCTGTTGCGACGTGGACGCCGACGCAAAGGCAAACCGCGACCGACCCTTCCCGTGGCACCCTGCACCGCGGTGTCGGCCCGGTCCGGTCCGTATCCGATCGTCGAACCTCACGGGGGTGGGACCGCGAACGATGCGGTTGGAAAACAGCGGGGAAGAAACCGCGGCATCCGGCGGCCAGAACGACCCTTTCTCGGTGCGGCCCGCCGCTCGCTGCTGCCGGATCGCCGCGGTGCCTTTCGGGGCGGCGGTTCGAGGGGGAAGCAGCGCCGACACAACGAAACCGAGCGAGCCGTGCTGCCCGTCGGCCGGATCGCTCCGCGGTGCCTTCAGCAGCAGCAGCAGCAGCAGAAGGGACAGCAGCAGCGACGACGACGACAACGCCAGCAGCACGTGTTTGATCGAAGCATCGACGGGTCGGCCTCGGGCCCGGGGCTTGCGTCGCCGGCGACAAAGCTTCGCGTCGTCCCGGAACGCCATCTCGCGACGCATTGCCGGGGTACCTGCCGGGCGAAGTACCTTGTTTCAGGCTAGGAACTGCGTAACACGTACAATGTGATATTGCTCGCAGTATCGAAAAAAGAATCGGTGTGGCGTTGTACCGTAGAGCCACTTCCTTTGCTTGGTGGATCGCGTTCGATTTGGGTTGGAATTGCAACGTTTTCTTGTGCAAAATCTCCTTTCTTCCGTTTGTCCTCGGGGTGAAGTTCCTTCGCGAAATGAAATTCGAAGGTTGTGTAAAAATCAACCGGCTGGTGGTACGTACTGCTCGTACTCGTACCGGAACTTGTACATACGTACAGTACCGCACCGTACAGAATAGGAGCGGCAGATTGTATGGCAGGTGAGGTGAGCGGAGGAGAAAAAATCCTGTCACAAAAAATTGTCTTGGTTTCGTAAGTTTGTGGTGCGTCGATTTGGGTTTGATTTTGAATCGATTGACAACGCATGCGTATTGCCCCCATTCGAGTTCGTGATTGGAAACAGGATTGATTGATTCATTAGTCCGATTCATTCGACTAGATTCAATCAAGATACGGTACGTAATTTCCTTCGTAATGAAGAGAAAATGAATTGTTATGTACAGGTGTCATAAATTTATGACTTCTCTGCTCTACCGTATGTCAGCACTTGACTGGAAAAACTAGTTCGTTTTCTTTGTTCTGTGTCTCGAAATTTTCGTTGGCGATAGAATCATTTGCAGTAGAAATTTCACGTACTCATAATTTTTGAACTCATCTCTATTTTCCAACGGAAAAAATTCGTCTAGACTGCCGATTGTAATTTAAGCGCACAAATTGTCAGCGCCGCCGTTTACCATCAGAGTCAAGATAGCGCACTGAGAACGTGCTCATTTATCAAACAAAATTTCATAATTTTGATGTTTAGGGGATTGACAACAGTCGAGTGCGCCAAAAATAAAGTGCTGGAACTGATAATTGTCCGTCTACCGAACACCATTTATTTTTAGTTCTTGATGGTCCAATAGTAGAATCAATGTGCCTGGATCGGAAGCGTTGAGAGTCGGAATGAAAACCCGTTGAGAATTATCCCGTTCCCGTCCGATACTTTCGCACTCTGACGCTAAAACCGACGCTGACACCCCACATTTTTTATCTCTGGATGTCAACTCACATATTTATTTCTGACATATCTACAAGACTCTACTACTAACGAAGATTAACATGAACACCAACGCTATTTTGACCCAAATCCTTGTCTCCTTCTGCCTTATTCTGGCAGTTGCTGGCCACCTCAAGGGCGCTGAAAGAGGGGAAACTGAACGAACCTTGAGAGGC